CAGAAACCTTTGATCTCAATAGACTCACACCTGAACAGACAAACATAACAAGGATTTGTTGTTGCGTGTTGGTGAAGCTGTTGCGTATTTCTAAGCGGTTAGAGCGTCTGACTGCCTGCTGAGGGTTCATACGCTGCTCTTTAAGCAATGCTGGGTTTTCTGTGCTGAAACTTGAAACAACGCAGAGCTTCATCCACCCTTGATTGAACTGGCAAACTATAAAGCAAAAGAAATTTTTTTGGGTGCAACTTTCCGATCGTTTGCTTTTGTTGTTTCTGGAAGTGCATGTTTCACCCTGTGTGTTATACTGCATTAAAAGCTGCAGCTAGGAGCATTAATATGAAATTATCTTGATTGATTAATTGATTTCAATCAAAATTCAAACCATTATAAATAAACAACAATTAAAATTTTAATAAAGTGCCTTGGTGCTGTCCATCATCCTTATATGATACATGTTTTTCTTAAATATTTAAAGTAGGCTTTCTGCTCCTCGGCAGCCCTTGATGTCAGCCTTTATCGCTCCGTCTGTGAACCCGGTGAATCATCACCATGTGTCCTCCTTTCCCTCAGAGTCCGGCTCCGAGCTCTCCCTGAGCGGCTTTGAGACGGTGGCCAGCAATTCCTTTGAAGAGGACGAGGAGGAGGACGAAGGCTCTGTCATGCTAAGCAGTCCCTGCAGCAGCCCCACCACCAGCATGTTGCAGGAGGATCACCATGGAGACAAAGATGAGACTCGACCCAATGGGATAACAAAGCACAGGTCAGAAGTGCAATATGCCCCTACAGTTGCCCAAATTGGCCTCACTCCTCCGCTGCCTTTCATCTCTGGCTTAAAAATGAACAAACTCTGCAAAGGGACCATTTTTCTCTTATAAGTCTGTTATTGTTGCAGATACTCTAGTTGATCTGAGAGGTTGGTTACTTCTCTCCCCCCTCCCTTATCCTCCCTCAGCTCTTTCCACTTGGTAGTGTGAATAATTTAGAAAGAGGAGCAGTCTGGTAAAGCCATGGGAAAGGGTTGTATTGAGCAGGCCTAGCTCTATGTCACTCTGTTAAATATTGATGAGGTCACAACAATCAGGAGGGTGATCCCATGTTTGCTGTTCCTCCATAGCTCAGATAATTCACTTATCCTATAAGGCAGAAATATTAACCTTTTTAATTTGAAATGCATAAAAAAAAACATTTTTTTTTTTGTATCAGTTGCCGTAGATCAGGGGTCTGCAACCTTTAATATCCAAGGAGCCATTTTGCCCTGAGTCCAGCTAATTAAACCTCCTTTACATGATTTTTTTTTTATTTAAAAAAAACAACCTATTATTTTTTTGGTTAAATATCTGCCATAAGAAATCTATTCCCATTTTAAATAACCAAGAACTTATTTGGATTCTTTGCTTTCAAAATAAAACATAAAACGATTCAGAAAACTGAAGCATTGATTTCTTCCTGTAGGGTNATGAGGTCACAACAATCAGGAGGGTGATCCCATGTTTGCTGTTCCTCCATAGCTCAGATAATTCACTTATCCTATAAGGCAGAAATATTAACCTTTTTAATTTGAAATGCATAAAAAAAAACATTTTTTTTTTTGTATCAGTTGCCGTAGATCAGGGGTCTGCAACCTTTAATATCCAAGGAGCCATTTTGCCCTGAGTCCAGCTAATTAAACCTCCTTTACATGATTTTTTTTTTATTTAAAAAAAACAACCTATTATTTTTTTGGTTAAATATCTGCCATAAGAAATCTATTCCCATTTTAAATAACCAAGAACTTATTTGGATTCTTTGCTTTCAAAATAAAACATAAAACGATTCAGAAAACTGAAGCATTGATTTCTTCCTGTAGGGTAAAAAAAATGATAATAATAAAACACCTATTTTACAAACTAAAAACATATTTCTGATGTTTTCCAATATTTTTTATAAAACCCACAAAAGCATCTAAGACATTTGTTGTTGTTTAAATCATTTAAGCCACTATTAGGAGCCATGGTAGAGGGTCCATAGAGCCACATGAGGCTCCGGAGCCGCAGGTTGCAGATCCTGACATAGATGAATAATTGCAGCAGCTCTGATTATTTTAGCTCTATCTTTGTGAGGTTTGCCCGCTTTGTTCCAGCACTGTGCCTCTTCGCTGCAGCTTTTTTCTGGTAATTGGAAAATATCCACCTGAAGTGGCACCTGTGTCTTTTCTATCCCTGATAGCGCAGCTCTTGTGAAATGCACCGCCTTCCAAAGCACTCGAACAAAGCAAATCAATGATACCTGCATATAGAGGACATGATAATTACGTGAGCTATTTTTTCAGGGCGAGCTTACCGGCGCCGATGTTCTCAAGAAACGACTTCAGTATCTGGAGTATTTTGAGGAACTGCATTGGAATGGTATGGATGATGTTCAGATGTTATTTGGATTAGCTTCAGTCATTCAGCTCATAAAGACAGACTTCTGCTCTACTGTTAATATTACCTTCCTGTTATTAACACTGAGGGGCAGACATCTAATCATAAGAAAAATACAAAATCTAAACATATAAAGACAGATTATCTCCTGTAAAGTGAGAAACTCTTTGAATTAAAAGAACATTTTGATATTCTAGCTGTTTTCTTGCATAATGAGGAAATACAAGAATAAAAAAAACTATTATTAATTGGTTGTTATTCAGTGCAATAACTGTCTTTGGTTAAAAGTATGTTTGAAAATAAATCCCTTATTTCTGTGAGTTGGGGAGATTCAGGTGTATCAGCAGAAAGTAAAGTAAAAAAAATAACATACTGTTCTTAGAAATGGTAAACTTAGAAAGAAAGAAAGAAAGAAAGAAAGAAATTTGCAACTGAGTAGGGGGGTTTAAAGTTATAAATTATGTGCATGTATCATTTTGCAAAAAAAGACAGGCTGCAAAAAATAAAAGTAAATCAGTTTAAAAGTGGTTGATGTAAAGTTTATTTAGCTCAACATCAAACAGCCTCTAGGAGGAAGGATCTGTGATAACGCTCCTTTTTGCACCAAGGAGCTCCTCGGTTATAAGAATGATCTTTATTTGTCATTGCAGTAGTGCATTCTGTATTTAGCCCATTACTTTATGGGAGCAGTAAGCAGCTCACTGATCTATAGAGCCGTCATGCACAGGGACTGAAAGTTTCAACCAGTACTTATAGAACAGAAGCTTTCTGCTCTAAGGACCAGGCCATCGCTCCCGTGCTGTTCTGCATCAGCCTAATGCACAAAATGGAAGACATTGTCCAACACTGGTATCATCCTTCTGTCTCATATTGGTGTTTTCTACTTTAAAAGCTGGGCCTAAAATATTCCGTGTAAAACATCTGGTCCTCTATGAAGAAACATTGTTATCAGATCATCGTTGGTTTAGGGCAGAGGTCACGGATTAGCAGCCCAGGGTCACGAATCCAAACCTAACCTGATTTAAAACATTTATAAATTACTGCATGTTGTCCAACGACACAACTAATTTCACTTGCTCCTCTTCTCCTGTTAATACGGTAAAGCCCTGGGGAGCGTCCGGCTCCAGGCTGCACGTGATCCAAATGAGCCAATGAGCTGTCAGTCTGGGTTGCTGCTGCTGCTACTTTTAGACACAGCAGGCAAACCTGTGGCAAGCCGGGCGATGGGAAAGAAGGACTTTAATACTGTTTTGATTTTATTTTTTTATTTTCATTTATTCTAATGGAACAATGCATATTGATAAACAGATAACACAATGCTGCCATTTTTTGCCATATTTAGCTGGTTTCCAAATCTCTGAGATTTAAAGTTTTCCCTGGAGGCTGCGATTTCTCCAAACTTTCTATTTAGATCTTTTTCTCTTGAACTTGAAACTTAAAATTTGGCCCAGAGTGGAAAAACAGTCAGAGTACAGCTTATCTGAGCTTAGCAGTGATCCTTAGTGTAGCTTATTACTGTCTACAACCATTTCTGCTTTCAGTTTCAGCTCCGCCCTCCTTTTAATGATGAGCACAACCTCTCCACATCGCATTACACGCTGCAGCCGTGTAATCTGCTCAAATTAAATGTCAGAGCTGAGCTCAAACAGGTTCATGACGCTGCTTGTGTGAAAAGGCTTGAAAACCTAAAAGCTTCGTTTCACTCAGGAAAAAAAGGCTCTAATCCTTTTGTCCTGAATGCTCTGGGTTGATGACTATCTTTATCTAAAACATTCACTTCTGCTAAATCTGTTTAAACACCTAAATCATAACACGGCCATGATAAAGGTCCTAACTGTCCTTCCAGTGGCATTATTTCCATGATGATAAATTAGTTTACAGAAAACGGAAATAATGCGTGCATGTAGAGAAATGAGGAAGGCAAGGAGCGTGAAAGGAAAGGCAAGGGTTGAAATTACAACCTCTAACTTTACATGTTTTTTAATACTAATTTTATACAAGAATAACCAAATAACATTGTTTTTGTTTTTTTTTTAAGCAAGATTTTGTTGCTTTCATTCTGATGCATCTTCTTATCAAGTCATGTTTTTTGTGGCGTCTAAAGATATTTATTGGATGTGCAGCAGTGGGACGGAGCTAAACGGTGTGAGTTCTTTAGTTCCTGTGAAATATAAAATGTCCTTTATAGGGAGAACTGTGTCTTTGCCGACCTTTAGGTATAGGCACTAAAGAAGTGAAATAAGCTATTAGTCTTTTCCCATGGAGCGTCCATAAGGCTTCTAAGATGACATTTGTATAACATTCATGCTATAAAACATCAGACACATGCTGCCGGCTCTGACTCTGCTCCAGTATTTTATAAAGAAATCAATATAGTTTATGTCAGCACTGTGCTCACTGATTAAATCTCCCCTCCAGGGGTCAGTTTGAGAATGAATAAAAACCTGTTAACATTGTTATCACTTAATACTTTCTATCACGCAATTAGCATTCAGTGCTCAGCTTGTTTAGTTTGATTTTATTTCAGTTTGTCACAGAGAAAACATTACAGCATGGTAGAAAATCCAACAAACAAGCACTGCAGAGCTCACAGCAGCGCCCCCTAAAAACCCTTATAGAGTTATAAAACACAGCATTTAAATCAAATAAATAAAACTCCACTGCATTTTTTTTATTTTATTTAGTCAAATAGTGATCAATTTATGTAAAATATTTAACCTATACAATTGAATGGCATTCACAGTGTTTCAGCCTTCATCCTTGCAGCAGGGCTACATGTAGATGCAAACAGGAAATGCATCTGGCTTTGAATACAGCAAGAAAACAGCCACAGAACTTCAGTTGGATGACTACTGTGATATTGTTTTTATTCAGGGGGTTTTGTTATTAAAATAACTTGCGATAATAAAACAGAGAAGAAAAATGATCTTTGCAGCAACAGGTTATCAACCTTAAAGCAGCAACAAGCAAACGTTCTGGTCATTTCAGGGTTAATCAGAAGGATTACCGCTAAGAAGCTCAGGAAAGAAAAATAAAATAAAAAAATAAAAAGCTGTAAAAATTACCAATTACCATAATAAATCAAACTGGTCCTGAAATAGATCCCTGAGGGATTCCACTTATATTAATATTATCATTATTATTATAATATTAATATATTCCTTTAAGCTCATCATTTAGACGACTATAATGCCTTCTGTGTTTCCCAAATATTGCTTTTCATTACTTTATAAATTGACAGATATTCTTTTAATTCAAAATTATGTGAATTTTTTGGACATTCCACTTTTTAAAGTATAAAACATGTTTGTTTATCATAAAGATTTGTTTCTGGTTTCAGATCTAGTTTTGACCAATCAGACGGCTCTTTAATCTTATGATCTCACTAATTTTCTGGTTCTAATTCTTTTATGTTTGTGTGATAAACATTAAGTGTTTTTTTTTTTTTTCCTTCTGATAGCTGCTCTGCCTAATTTCCCCCAACACTGATGGAGAGATTTCTGAACAGCACTTTATTACCAGAGAGAATCTCTTCCTTCTTTATCTTGTAATTAATTCAATTCTATTCAGTTTATTTCTATAGCTCCAATTCACATCATGTCATCTCAGGTCACTTTCCAGTTCACCAGATCATCCAGTCGGACC